TTCAAGGCCTGGTACCAGTTCCAGCATCATAGCATCTGCACCCACATAGGTCGAGTACCAGAGATCTTAAGGTTAGTTCAAGCATAGGTTAAAGTTATGTAATGAGAACCAGAGAATCATAGAGCCTTATTTCTCATGAAAAGATTAAAACAGTAATTAATTAATTGATCTATTTGATGTATTAACATCTCATACGGCAGCACTGAGAAAGATGAAAGATGTCTGATTGTTACACACCTGGAATTGGAATGTAACCATCTTTTAGGAGCCTAGGAATTGCTTGGTATGTTTGCTGCACTGCTAGTAGACAATATAATGCTAGGAAACCCTAGATGATTAGCAACCTCTTCCGAGAAATACATGTATTCATCATAGATGATGCATGCAATCTTACTATGTTGATCCTCTTTCTCCATCATCTGAGCCAATGACTCCTGAAGCGGGGCTTTGCAGTTGGCATTAAAACCCGATATCACATCTATAAAATTGTGGGACGAGACATTTTGCTCATGTAAGCCTTCATACATCTCTAAGAAGTTGAAATCAGGGTAGTTCAGTGGGTTGGGAAAGTTGAACTGGGTGTGAGCGATTGTGATGTAGAAGCCCTTGGAGTGAAGGATAGTGCCGAGTTGAAGCATCGGAGTTATGTGCCCTTGGAATGGGCATGGAACCGGAACCAATCTGCGGCATCTATGTTGTTTTTCCGTCTCTCTCTCTCTCTCTCTTTCTGAGAACAGGTCTGTGTAGCAGGAATAAGTATTTTGGGATTGTCAAATAAGTTGTAAATCCATTCCTTGTAGCTTATAAACTAGCTACATCAAAAGTCAGCATTGAACTCATTCTGTGTATAGAGAAAATTCCTTATTAAGTTTGAAAATTAGGGTACTTAACAACATTTCCCGGAAAGGGTCTTACATTTAGCTAGTCCTTATTTTAAAATACGATAGAAGACTTTGGAGATTAATTTAATAATAACCTTTGGGGAGGAAATTTCATGGCTGAGAGCCGATTGGATAACGAAAGCTAGACAATTGGCTATAGTTGGTCTTTAGTCATAAGACAGCAACCCAAAGAAGCCCCTTTTTTTGCTTCATTATGAAGTAATAGGGTTTTGATTTTGTTACTTGTTATGCCTGAAAATGTTAGTCAATTAACATAGATACAAAATTAAAGCTAGAACACAGCCAGTTAAATGTGAGAGAGACAGATGTTAACTCTTGTTTGGCAATCCTTGACCCACTACAGAGGGATGAGTAATTGACATTGTTATCCTTGTCTTTGCTTTATTTTTTTTGCTTATTTATTATATTTATACAAGACCTGTTGTTGTGGGGTACTTAAGCTGAGACAATTGACATTGTTGGTCTCCCCTCGGCCATATGTTTTGTTTGGGTACAAATTTCTTTTGGGTTCTATATACCTAACTAAATTAAAGCGAAAATCTAGTTGGTCCCTTCTGGTGGTCTTAACTCTGACAGAACTACCTACACCTCCTTAGTTTGGTAGAGAAGATCAATGAAACAAGAGCAAAAAAACAATTTTTACTTTATTCAACGCGGAAGATGGACAACAGAAGTTTTTTTTTTACATCCATATGCAGGAAGCCTCATCTATCAATGTCTGAAGAAGGGACCTAGTAGTAAAAAATCAACTGTTGCAATTACAATGACATGATAAGCTCCACGAGCTTATTCAAGAAACTGTAAGAAGAGCCACCCCTCTTCATACAAACTTCTATTTTCTCCTTCAAATCTTTGGCCCTTACCCTCATCCCCTCCCCATCATCATCTACCATCAGTGTTCTCACAGCTCTCTCTATCTCTCCTCTTTCTAACTCATTCTCCAATTGTACGCCTACTCTCCATACTTGGCTGATATACCTTGCGTGCACCTTCTGATCGCCAAAACTCGGCGTGCATATCATTGGAACACCTTCAGATAAACTTTCTAGGGTTGAGTTCCAACCGCAATGGCTCCAAAATCCACCCACCGCGCCATGAGTCAAAACTTCTCTTTGGGGTGCCCATTTGACAATGCAACCTCTTTCTCCAACAGCTTCTATGAAACCTTGAGGCAATGTCTCATTCCAATTTAAACCACAAATTGAGCCAGGTCTGATCACCCACAAGAAAGGTTGATTGCTGTTAGCTAATCCCCAAGCCATTTCACCTAGTTCCTTCTCACCGATGGATGCTACACTTCCCAAGCTGACATAGATAACTGACTTATGAGATTGTTTTTCGAGCCACGCAATGCAGCTGGTGTCCTCTTCTAGTAAACTACTGGAGGCTGCCGGTGCAATCTTGTGAAGAGGACCTATAGAGAAGATTGGAACTTGACATTGTTGCTGGATCTGTGCTAGTGATGATTGTTCAAGGCAATCCACGGTGTTCCAAATGATGGCTGAGGCCGTCCTAACATTGCCCGCATTAACGGCTAGTTTTGAATAGTTTTCAAATGTGTCCAAGTTGGAGGTGGGCAGATCCTTGAACCTGAGGGGATGAAACTGGGGCACCGGATTCAGTGACAGAGAGTCTGCAATCCAGAGTTGTGCTCTTAGTTATAAGTAAGAAGAATGAAAATCATACAACATGGCAGAAGGAAACATTAGATCTACTATTCAAGTAAAGCATTGGAATTTTGGGATTTCAACTACCAGCGGTATACTGTGTTCTGATCAGGAAATATATCTCACATACCTGGGAATGGAAGGTGATCTTCTGAATGAAGTTGTAGGACGGCACTGCGAGCAAGAAAATTTGTAACACTGGTAGTGCGTAACATGATGCTTGGAATGTTTAGATGACGAGCCACAGCTTCAGAGAAGTACATGATGTCATCATGGATGATGCAGATGATTTTATTCTGCGGTTCTTTTTCCATCACTTCAGTCAAGGTTTGTTCAAAACTCGCTTTGCAATTGGCATTAAGAGCCAACAGAATGGCCATTATATTCCCAGATGATATCTCATCAGCAGTTAAGCCATCTGGTATTGGAAAAAAGGTGAATTCAGGGTGGTTTGAAGGGTTAGGAGAGTTGAAATGGGTGTGAACAACTGTAATGGAAAAGCCCTTTGAGTGAAGGAAGGTACCCAACTGAAGCATTGGGTTAATGTGGCCTTGGTATGGACATGGGAATAAAACCAACCTTTGACTACTCTGTGTTTTCTTTTCCATCTCCCTCCCCTTCCCTCTTTCTCTCTTCTCTCCTCTTCTCCTCTCCTCTTTTCTCTCTCTCTCTCTCTCTCTCTCTCTCTCTCCCCAATAGGCTACAGCTATTGGAAACTGTCTTGCTTTGTGTTGGTGCTTATAGAAATTTATCATAATATAGCAATTCAGTTTTTGGTGAATAATTTGGCACTTCTTTATTCCGCACATGTCGTGCTAAATTAGAAATAAATTTGTTCTTTTATATAATTTTGTGTGTGTGGAGATAAGCATGTGATTCTAGCGGTTGGTTGTTGTAGTTTTTAAACAAATTTTGGAATCTTGTCTTTGAAGTACTGAAAATATACCGGCCGGGTTAAAGAGACAGACTTTATGGTATAGGCCTCAGTCATGCATTATCCTGATAGAGATACTCAGCTACCAGTTCTTTATCATCTACATCTTCATGGATTAAGGCGCTAAGGACTGATTCTCTCATCCTCTTTCAGAAAGAAATCTTGACTTAGTGGTTTAAATGATCTTAGAACTCTCTATCCATCATCAATTGGTTTTGGGTTGAATGCTCACCTTCTAATAACCTTTTTTTTTGCTTTATGGTAAATCTATTTTGATTGTTGTTATTTTTATTTTTTATAAATAAGTTCAAGAGAGAATGATAAGCACGGATTGTTTGTTTGATAAATACTAAATTATAAACCCTAAACTTCAACGAAAGGGTTTAGGTCATAATCAGATGGTCTTATATCACAAGCAACATGTGGTTTTTGAAGTTGGAAAGAAAGATGTTCCCTCTTTATAGCATAAATGGACAGAGTTCAAAAATTAAGTTGCTGGTTGTTCAACGGCCAGGCTGTTCTTGTTCTGAAGAAGCAATTTCATGTAGGCCATCATACTAGAGGGGAAATAGGCGTACTTGCCAACATCATTCAACATCTCCAACCAGATCGTACCGCTCGTGTAGGTGTGTGTTTATTTGTCATGCTAGTAATAATATATTGAGAATGCATAAATACATTTTAATTACTTTGGTTGAAAAGATGTGGAGTGAGAATGGAAACTCAAAGAAACTTTTTGCAACTTATGAAACAGAACATGACTTGTGTGACAAGCAAGAAGCCCAAGATGTCAGCTTTCCAAGATCACTCAGAGAGCAGGAGCTGAAAGGCACTTCTTTGGGCTTAAACCGTGGGATTTCGTTATCAGTTGCAGTAAGTCATCCAAATCTCTGAAACATTTTTATATATGAGAACCAGAGAACATCGAACCATAGTTCTCAAGAAAAGGCTAAAACAATGTCAATGCAGCTTTCAGAGAGATGAAAAATATCTAAATTGTTACACACCTTGAAAGATCAATGCAACCATCTTTTAGGAGTCGTCCTAGGAAATTGGCTTTAGTTCGTCTTAGTTTCGAGAGAACCACCGAGTAAAAGCCCGTTTTCCTGCTTAAGTAGTATGGGTTTTCACGAAGATAAAAAACTTAATGGTTAGTTACACCCAGTTCAATCTAGAGAAACAGAGCAATGGACACTAGACGTTGTTCCTCCTATCTTTGCTACTCTTCTTTATTTTGTGCTATAACAGAACCTCTTAACCCTCTTTCGTTGGTAGCGACGATCAACAAAAGAAGAGCAGAGAAACAATTTTCCATCAATGATTTGTAGTGGAATGATTGTGTAAGTTCGTAGAATCACCTTGATATTGTTGCTTCAACCACTTTGAAATGTAAAGTCTGGATTGTACAAACCAATGCATTGGAATAGTAAATTTCATTTAAGAGTGAGTAATGTACTACAAACAGAAGTTTGTTTACATCAGATGCAAGAAGCCTCAACTATAAATTTAATGACAAAGGACTTAGTTGAGGGAAAAAAAAAAACACTTGTTGTTCCAATTAAAATGACTTTTTAAGCTCCACAAGCTCATTCAAGGAATGGTAGGTAGAGCCACCCTTCATACTGACACCTATTTTCTCCTTCAACTCCCTGGCCCTCACCCTCATTCCCTTCCCATCCTCATCTACCATAAGTTTTCTAACAGCTCTCTCTATCTCTCCCCTCTCTAATTCATTCTCCAGTTGTATCCCTATTTTCCATACTTGACTGACATACCTTGCATGCACCTTCTGATCACTAAAGCACGGCCTGCATAACATCGGAAACCCTTCAGAAATACTTTTCAGGGTTGAGTTCCAATCACAATGGCTCCAAAACCCACCCACTGATCCATGAGCCAAAACTTACATCTGGGGTGCCCATTTCGCAATGCAACCTCTTTCTCAAATAGCCTTCATGGGGCAACAGCTCAATCAATCTGAGCCATAAATAAGCAGTAAGAGGACTCAGGCATTAGTCTCTTCCCCTCATTTTCAGAGAGAGAGATTAATCTTAAGCACTAGAGTTTGCATTTTGTACTGCAATTGTTGCTATAATAGAATACAGAGTGGTCCTTCAGTCCTGCAGAGACCACAT